TCTGGCGCGCAGGAGGCGCAGCATCGGATCCGCCGAGTGCAATAGTATAGTTTGGTTTCGCGCAGATGTTGCGAGGAGTAGATAGGATAGCGTAGTGTTAGTTAGGACCTTTGAGGGTATAAAGTAGATCAAGGCGTTTTGCCTTGGGACTCTTCCAGTTTCGAAAGTGCAGATCAGGAACTCACTTTCTTGGCGTGTTTGTGCATTTTGGTCCTGGCACCACGTAGAGAAGCTGCAGCATAGCGAAGTTACCGTATGTTGTAGTTGAAGGCCTTCGGCTGAATGTTCAGAGCTAGTACTAGGTTAGAGACTTGAGTAGTGCGGATCTGCACCTGCGGGTGATTTCTGATGCTCAGAGCTGGCTGCGAGTTAGAGACTTGAACAGTTCCCCCTTACTCCTTCGAGTGACATATCTTGATTGTACTCCTACGGGAAGTTTCCCCTGAATGCCAAAGTGAAGTTTTATTACTTCGTGTAAGCCTTGGTTTGCAATTCAGGTTGTGTGTGTGTTACTAGATCGTGAATATTCTCACTTTTTAACTTTTCGTGGAGGACTTAATCCAGTAACTGGCGGTTTATGGTTAACTGATACAGCTCATCATCATTTAGGAGTCACTACCTGCAGAACCTCTAAGTGAACTTTTGAGACACTTTCCTCCTGAAATCCGAAGCGGAGGTCCTGACCGACCTCCGAGTTGTGCTTTTGCCAGTTTCAGGTGTGTGTGTGTGTGTGTGTGTGTTGAGTGACCACGCTGTACCGTGCATCCTCCGAGCATCCTCCGAGTCGAGATCCTCCTCCGAGTCGAGCCTCCGAGTCGAGCACTGCAGTATTTCTGGGAGTGACAGTCGCCTAGAATTCAAACTCTACAAAAGTCTGTTAAACGTGACACTTTTACTCTGTGTGTTGCCCCTGTCCCAGTGGGTTCGATCTTTTTACCACCATACTGCAGTTTTAGCCTTTGGTGGGTTATTACATAAGGAGCTGACAACTTCTTTTTGGCGCCGCTGCCGGGGACAGTGCGTCAACACCAGAATACTTGAGCAGCAATGCTCGGTGAATGTCGACAAGCGATAGTGTGGGAAACCTTGTATGGATAAGTGTAAGTTTGTGACATGTGCATTATATATGAAGTTATTACATTTTGGAAGTCATTTTTTGCTTAATGGTCTTCCACAAGTATATCTAACTTACTCTTTTGGAATTCAGGTCAATGGAATTTAGGCGATGCAGTCACATTTCCTCGTGGTGAATGAACAACCTCAACAAACGATGATTGATATTAGCAGGAAAAAGTTGTCTTGAGCAGGATCTCAGTTCTGCACTTATCATCATCATCATAATGAACATGAGTACAATTGCTTCGTTGAACAAGCTCCCTGAAGAGATGAGGATAAACACAGCTAATTCATTGCTGTATAGCGTCTGCAAACTTTGATTATAAGCAACACAGTGAAGGCTGTCATAATCTGCTGTTGATATTATTTTACAATAAAATAACAAGAAATTGTCTTTGTCACGCCACAAAAACTGATTCTTGTTGTCAAGTAGACAAACAACTGGTTTTTAGTCTATCTCACATCGTGACTTCGACTCGTAACGACACAATTGAAAACTCCATGAGCTAACCTTGACCTTAGAATCTACTTTGTATGTGGCACAAGACCTCCCCAAAGCTTGTATCTGTTCAAAAACTTATAAACGCTTTAGCATACAGTTAGCATGAACTCAAGTGATGGTACAATATGTAATAAATATTTATAAACCATTTATTACAATTTGGATCAAACTGAGCTTTTGCGCGAAGAGCGAGAGTTACTCATGGATGCTGGATAAATTCATACTTTGATTAAGCTGTTGGGAATCATTTTCAAGGTGGACGACACAATTTCAAGCATCGGTTGACTTGTACAAACCATTCTGGACCATCCAAAGGTTTCGCATCAGACCCTGAGGTCCCTGGCTTACCTCGGATGGATTCATAGCACAAGGCCAGTTCTGCTGTGAGGAACTATGGTCTTTAGTATGACGTGGACCAAGTTGTGAGAATAGGGATTCCCTCATAGTTGAGTGCGGATGGATGCCCAGATGTTCTTATAAGCCATCGCTAGATCGGTCCGCCGGAAAGCGGAGCGATCTACTTCAGTCACTTTGATACTCCACCGGAAAACTAAGTGCCAATCAGGAAGCTGCCCGGTTAGCCTGCCCGCAAATTCTTCCATCTTTGGTCCAAAAGAGGAGAGTCGCAGCGAAAAGAAGAACTTCCGTCACGCCTCACTGCAGGATGACACCTGCCTGGGTCTATGAAGGCCCTATATAGGGGCTATGTATAAGTTTGTGCTGCTAAACCCGTCCCTTTGAGTTGTGCCTCCAACACTAGTGCAGAATCTTCTCCGTCAACTTCGACTTCAACTACACGGCCATGCATACTTCACGGTTCATGAGCTATATTGTTATACGAGAAACACTTGACAACTGCAGTATACATATTCTCCCATTGTTTCTAGTACAGTATGTGCCATTCTTTCAACAAAAAGACGTTATGTTTCTTTAAAGGGACATTCATATCAATTTAGGGATTTCCCTAAATTGTCTAGATTCCAGTATTTGTAAAGTTTATCAAAAAAGCCGGTGAGATTTGGCTTGGTGGGTAATATTTTAGTGAAAACGTATGCTGAAAAATAAAATGAAGATCTATGTAATGTTAAAAATCTACTCATAAGGGCACGAGCCCGAACCTTAGGGGCCTTCGGGCACTCGGCCCTCTACTTGTGGTGCTGTGACCTGTTCAACTATAATAAATTTAGGGATAAAAGAATTCTGAGTTAAAAATATTGTTGTTTTTTTATGTCTATCTTCTTGTTCTCTATCAGTGCCAACTAAGTAGAAGCATCTTTACAAGTACACCACTATATACTTTTTTTAAATCAACTTTGATGGTCTTTCAACGCAATTTTCTAGAAACTTGATTTATGGTGCAAGTGTATTAATCACCGTTTTGATTTATCTCTTATCCTCTTCAATTTTAGAAACTCGTCATGACGGACTCTCTTCATACATTCCTGAGTGTATTAAGACTGTAGTTCCTGACAGGTGTTCACTTGTCACTATGTACATCTTTCACAGTGGCCATATATTTTTATTTTAGTAAGATAAAACAGCATTATTAGTATTAGAAACAACTGATACTAAATAAAGAACATTCCAGAAAGTAGAATAGGACGACGATTTTGTTCGTTAGAACAGAATCCTCAGTTGGTTTAGGGTTTAAACCCTGAACTCTGCTGCATATATGGTCTTAAGTTCTTGGAAAGATGGGGAAGGTGGATACCCCCGGTATGAACTCACTATGCACTATGACTTAGTATGAATTCTTTATACACTATGAACTCATTGCATTCTGAATTCTAATCTTCGTGTTAACTCTCGATCACACGGCTTTTTCGTGTTAGCTTTCACTCGTACGACATATTGGATGAATTCCGTAGTAACTCTCACTTAGGTGGATACCCCCGGTATGAACTCACTATGCACTATAAACTTATGAACTAAAAGCACTCTGAACTCTATCTTCATGCTAACTGTCGATCACAAGACTTTTTCGTGTTAACTCTCACTTATACGACATTTTGGATGAATTCCATATCAACTCTCGCGTAGGTGGATACCCCGGGTATGAACTCACAATGCCACTAAGACGTAGCATGAACTCTTTACGCACCATGAACTCACTGAACCATGAAATCTACTCTTCGTGTGAGAATTAACTCTCACTCACGAGGGCTTTTTGGATGAATCCCTTATTACCTCTCGATTAGTTTGAATTCATCATTATTCTAGAATATAAAGATTTACTTACATGCCCCGTCCCAAACCTACTCTCACGCGATATCTCCACTCCACCAATCACTCAATCCAATGTATCATCGCCATTTCAAGATGGGATTACACAATATCTACTCTAATCACTGAATGCATTAGATCAATCTATGCAATTACAAAATCTGCAATTAGTATTGAAAATGCAGTTAGGTTGAAGAATATCTTAGAGAGAGGCTATAGCAAGACTCCTAGAGACTTGGTAAATACAATATCAGTTAGTTCAACTATAATATCTTGCGTCTATTACAAGTATTGAATCATCCTCTTTGTGAAAAATAGAAAGTAGATGTATTTCATAAATAAATAATATTTGATCTATGAAAATCGACAAGGTGGACATTCACACAAAGTATTTCACAAATAGCTTTAGCAAGTAACATATATAATACAAGAATCAAGATGTGTTGCTTTTTCAGAAGCCTATTTGTAAACTTTTGGAATTAGATAACTTGAGTATTTTCGATAAATTAAAAAATTATTTGAGTCTAGCATGTGGCATAGGTTTGGTAAGGAGTGACTTGTGGCAGATAAAATGGAATTTTTTCATTGTAATCTCTATTTAATATTATAGTATTGAACAAATATCGTTTGTGAATCAGTTTAGGAATAAATAAATTCGAGATACATATCTGTTGGACATGTTAGTGAGACTATATATATATATATATATATATATATATACTGACGATGTGTACACCATACCTAGTTGCCATGTGTATCGCAAACTTTGGACTTCCTATGTAGACAACTAGAAATTATATTTTTTTGATTTACAGAGAGCGTCTGCTAATGATATACAATAGACAACAATGAAAATATGAGGCTCTTGTAGTTGTTACATACACAAGAAACTTTACCACAATGTAATGATGTTATTTGGAGCTTGCTTCAAGTCTATCGCTACTGGTAAATTTTTTGCTTGCGCGGGTTCGATCCTTTTTCCTATGTACTTGGCATCTCTCTGCTTCATTATACTACAATACATCATCGTTCAAATTAACATGAGCTTTCTATCCGATGAAAATGAACATTAACGTACTGTATTTTTTCACTCATGTTTAAAAGCAATCCATTATTAGTCAAGCCAGATCAATATTAGGCACATATAGTATTCTCGGTCTACATGCCCAAGTTCACAATTGGAAGAGAATCTTCTGCTACGATAATTTCGAAGAAAAAAAATTGGGAGACCACTGTCATAGAGGATGCAGCAAAACATTCGCTACTGAATCCTGCGAAATTGATGGGTTGTGATTTGTGGGAGACATGCACCGTAGTGCTGTTTATTTGCGAACTCTTCCAAATATGTACAGACGATCTGAAACAAGGACTGGAGATAATGAATGAAGTTCTGTACACTGTTGGGCCAAGAAAAGGGTCCAAGGACGAGAATTAGAGGAACCCGAGAAAACGTGCGCAGCCTAACGTATCTCGATGATAGCGTCTAAGCAAATACATCCTAGCAGGAGTGAGAATCATGGTATTACATAATCAGCTCCTATGAGCTCAATGGTTCTAACGGAACTTCTGCCTCACCCGCCTTATCCATATCCTGGATCCTGTTCACGCCCAGGCATTGGGTTCTTTCAGCCTTGGCTGCTGCACAATAACATCTGGAATAGTAGATGGGAAAAATGCATATTTGAGACGGGTGAAAAAGCCGGCCTCGCGTGGCATGTACGGAGATAGTGGCAGAGAAACCTCACTGTCATCCGATGACAGTCCTGAGAGTCCTGGTGAAGTGAGCTCAGAATCTCCTTCTGAGTTTACTGCATCCATCCAAAAACTCATATTCATGGACTTGATAACAAATTTTGACTAATCGAGCGTCCACGCAATAGCAGCGAGTGCACGAAAAACAATTCTGCTTACCACTAAATAATCTCTGTGGTTCGTCCTTCCTCCAAAATAAGAGGTAGGACACGTACGGCTTCTCAGGAACAGGAAACAGCTTGACAACAACCGCCAAAGGCCAGCTGCATCAAAGTTGCACGGTTTCGAGGTAGGAAGTGAGTGCTGGTAGAGGATATAGCACATTCCATCCCTTGCTAGCAAAGAGTCTCCAGCCAACTATAACGAAATTGAGGGTACACGGGACATGAACTTGTTCACCTAAATATGCCAAGAGCAACGCAGATCAACCATCTATCCCAACGCAAATGGCAGGTGGAGGTAAAAACACCCGCAAACTCGACAATCAATATCTGCATTCATAGGAATACATCAGCTTGACGTTGGCAGTCACGCTAGATTAAAACCTGCTCGGGAGCTATCTACAGACATGATAACCTACAGGAAAGGACATTGTCAACTAGCAATGCAATGTATGTCGATAAACTGAGTCAATCTCGTTGTAAATCAAACTAAGTAGGCGATCATCAAAGAAGACTGAAGTACATCAACGCCTTAATGATGTGAGCTGAAACAGTGGTCTGACCTGAATTCCAACTGTAAAAATCAACACGTACAGAAATAGACGGTTGTTGAAAAATCCTTTAAAAATGTTAAACTTGTCAGGTTTTCTTGCATTGACCTCGTTGAAAATCTGCAGTCAATAACAAGCGTCATCTCAAAACTTTAGGACTGTTCCACACACAAAAAGACAGAATACGACGAATGTCGTATACAATATATGTTCGTACAAATGTGTAAGGTACAATTTTAGGTGTTCAGTATAATAACCGGAGCTTCTCTCTCGAGAATGGAATAAATAACATCAACTAGATGTTCAGGTCGAAATTTACCTGGCAAAAGACGAATGCATTGAAGATCATGCACACAAGAATCTCGTGTGCTTTCTCATATTCTTCTTTATCGGTGCCCGTCAGTTGTTCCGGATTTCTACCCTGTACTTCAGGTAATTGGCCACAAGGAAACTGAACTCAGTACATAAGTTGGTGTATGTCAGAATATAGATAATGATATATGTCGATGCCAAATTACGGGACAGTGAAAACCTTGGCACAAACCTTCAACGACATTATACCTTCATGTTCTAAGTTTATTATCTCAGCGACGAAATGAGACCCACAGCTGAGGCTTATCAGAAGCTAGCGCTTTATCTTCAGTATTCAAGCTGTACCTTTAGGTGGTAGAGACCAAGGATATTTAGTCCCTGGAAATGTAATGTTAAAAGCATTGCCAATTGATATGCACACTGCAACCAAACAAGAAGGAAGAAGTTCCTTAAGTCAGTAAATATGCAGCACTTGCAGAGATAGAAGGCTATTCAAACTAAAAAGGTTCCAATGTGAAGGCAGAAACTGATTCCCAATATCTGTTGAGGCTCGATAGATTTGGAAAAACAGGTTAATGCCCCATTTAGAAATCAGAGAGCACCGCAGTTCATTCCATCCATCTTCAGTTTAGAACTAACCTCCAGGTATACGGAGGCAACGAAGATAAATGAAAATTAACGTTACCTGGCCAGATATATTTCGCCACATGATGTTCGAGATGAGTCTCTCACTGCGACATAAACAAACATATGTGAGCTGCCCATAGGTGTCAAAAACTTCATACGTTCATATCTTGTCCCTAGAGCAGATCATCTTGCTCTTTAGATATTTGTTATGATAAAGACAATTCATGGCGGTTTCATTATTGCTCTTTTAATCGACAATCAAAAGGTTCTTTTTTCTGAAATGTTTCATAACCCACCTTCGAAACCTCTCTTCTGAGGGTTTAAACGGGGAGAGAATCACTTAAGTCTTAAGGCCCCTATTACGCCCGGTAGGATTAGCGACTAGGTTCGAACATTTCAATCTGGAAGGGGTTTAGGGTTTAGGGTTTAGGGTTTTATTTTTTACTCTTCCACTCAGTCTAAGCGGATGTAAGGCCTTTACCAGCCTTTACCTCTTCTGAACCGGTGGTTTGTCCATAAGGCTGGCATTTGGTGGTTCAGTAGCCAACGCCAGAGCGCCCAAGGTGTCCATGATCAGATTTACCCATAACAACTGTACGTTAATACACATATATTAGTAGGTGTACAAAATCGTTCTGCTTGGGACTTGGACTTTGTAGTGAAAATAATGACGAGTGGACTCGGCACTGAATATCGGAGGAACTTTGCAACAATAAGGATCAAGTTTTACTCATATCATAGGTCCAAGATATGCAAGAATAGATAACCTGTGGAGAGAGTATCACGTCTGATCTTAAAGGTCCATGGGAGAAGGTTACTAATTACGTATGTACAGTTCTACGATCTGCCTTGGAAGCAACTTTTGTGTAGTTCATCTCCATAAACTTCTTCCTGTAGTGTAATATGAGTCTCTGAGGTAATGAAGTTGTAATGAAGTTCCTCTGAAGCCTCGGGATCTTAGAAGGCTACGATTTGGAAGACATGGATACAGACCAAACAAAGGCTTCAGAGTTGATAGTTGAATAAGAGTTTGGAATGTCGACCTGAACTGCTGTCAAAGGAGCGTGCCCATCCACGATGGCAGCCACAAAATTGATTCCCAGAGCAACACCGTTGACGGTGGTTTGAAACTGGATAAATTTTTGAATATTTACGTAGATAGACCTTCCCCACATCACAACCTGGAGACAATGAAATTATTAGGGCTGGCACCAAGGAGAATGAGAGGCATGACAATCCCAGAAACTTTTCAATACTTAAGCCAGTTTTTATCAACAACTTTCCCCAGTTTACATAAAAATATTTTCTTCTGATAGCTCGGGTACAAACAAGAACTTCCAGTTGCAAGAAATGCGACAACTGTAGAAGATAATTAGCTCCTGGCAATTATCAAAATATCTTGTTTACAATTCTGAACTAGTCCAATCTGACATCTCTGTTCTGGGACAGATTCTCTATTATCAGAGAATATTATCAATTCTCTATTATTAGAGATTCTCTATTATCTATTTCAGATTCCTAGATCCCCATCTTCGTGTGGGTTCTCTATTATCGGGAAACGGTACTTACTTTCACAATGGATGAAAAATTGTCATCCAAAATGATAATATCAGAAGCTTCCTTTGCAACTTCAGTGCCAGCTATTCCCATTGCCAGTCCAATAGATGCCTGCATGAAGATTAGATTAGGAATAAATTTCATCTCGAGATCGACATCAAACCGACAGATAAATTTCACTTAAATCGTGCAGGCAGTTGTACATCTGTTAAATAAGGTCAGATACAAACCGGCACATGAAGTGATATATACACAGTTGACGAGGAAAGTGACTTCGATAAACGATTCCAGTAACAATCATAAACGACTAACAGAACAACCTATATGTGAACTAACTTCAGTATTTAATCTGCTAGAAGATGGTGTTCCATATTTCGGAGTAGATTGGTATTTCTTAGTAGAGTCAGTAAAATAAAGACTAGAAGAAGAACCTCATGTAATGCTGGGGCATCATTTGTGCCATCACCAGTAACAGCAACAATTTCCCCCATCTCCAGCAAGCGCTTTACCAACGTATGCTTATCCGTAGGCGAAGCACGGGCCATCACCTGCAATTAGAAAGAAACCATGTATTGTTATAAGATCAGTGGAAACCATACTCTTTAACATGTACGAAACACAGCAATTTCAATGAGTAGAATAGACTGTGAGCTCTACCTTAGCAAACGCTATGAGCACTTATGAGAATATTCTTGTGTTTTACAAGCTTTCCTTGTACATGTGTTCGAAATAGGCACGACAGTATGTACGCAAATCGTGCACCACAGATAGATCTGAATGAAAGATATCAACGATCTTTATATAGGACTGGTCCAGGCAATGTGAGAAGGAGAGTCTTGTGTTCCTGTCTTCAATCAGACGAAATGATAATGTACAAGAGAGGCACTAGCCTAAAGGAACGGTTGACCATACTGGATCTACGGAACGGTTAACTAGAGAAACATTAGTGACAACTTCAGTTTTACAGTAAAGATCCAAGTCCAAAGATAGATCCAGGCAGTAACGCCACTCCAATCCGCACCTGAACATTGGGAAGGACTTCATACTGCTCCTCTGGAGTCATTACTCGAAAGTCCTTGCCCTCTATGGCAGTTCCACCTTCCTGATATATACCACATTCAGTTGCTATCGCCACCGCCGTCTGGATGTTATCTCCAGTCACCATTCGGACCTGAATTTAAGTGGATAAAAACAAGTCAGTTCATATGTCTTGTCAAGGTTTGAAGCTAATTACATTAGGTCTAACTCCATGTCTAAGAAAGCAGAAAGAAATGCACGGAAAAAATTGAAAGTATTAATAATAATGCAAGACATTAAAGGGCTCTCTAATCAAAGTAGGCAACATCTCCCGACGTTGTTCTTGGCTTCTAGTGTCAACCGTCATAATACCATTCAGAAGATGCTAAGATAACAGGGTGTGTTTAAAGGTGAGCACTGCGTTGAGTAATTCAAGAAAGATTCAAAATACAGAGACGTACAATTATGCCCGCTGATTGGCACTTCGCTACAGCTTCAGGTACACCAGGTCTGCAGGGATCTTTGATACCGATAATGGCAAGACAAGTAAGGTTCGACTCGGGGAATCCCTCGGCCTTCAGCTTTTCAGGAGTAAGAGATTCCACCTCTGCTTCCGTGATCTCCCTGAAAGCAAAACATAATGTGCGCAAAGCAGCATTTGCAAAGGCGCTGATAATCAGCTGAAGCTCCTCCATCTAAAATGCACAACAACAATGCATGAACGCAAAAGTCATGTTTTCATGTTGGCAAACGAACTGGTCCACATTGCATAGTCGTGATGGATGTTCCTTGTGTCAGTGAGTTGGAAATCCTGTTTGAAACAAGTACAAATAAGGCTTTACAGAAGCAGCCGAAAGAAAGTTGAAGCTTCATAATATACTCGCTGAATATATGTCGGCATAGAGTGACAAGATTCATTGGAAGTCGTACTCTTTGCTCTGTTATGGGTTCAACACTCCCATCGGCTTGCATGTAGCCAGTGCAATGCTCGAGCATGATTTCAGCTGCTCCTTTCCAGTGAAGCCATGGTTTACCATCTTTTGTCTGGTACAAAAGTTTGTAGAATTAAATATTAGTCTTAAACGTCCCTGCGTCTCATCGTCATCCGACCACGTGTTCAAGTATCTTCATGCCGCAACTTGTCACTCTTCCTACGGCTATGTCATCTGAGCTAAAAGATATGCTTTTGCTTCTAAGGCTGATCACTGGGAGCAGATTACCATTAACTAAGATGTCTGGAAAAAGGTCATACAGCATGATGCACTCAACAACACCTAGATGAAGGTCTTGAAGTGGAGGTCAGAAGTGTCAAAATGTTACAAACTTCTACTCTTCAAGAGCGTCAAATGCTTGCTTTGAGCATAACATCGTATATACTCAAGCTATTCCTAAAGACGTCAAGTTGGCACAAGAAGAGTGATGGAGAAGACAGACTCCAGCCCTCACATAAATATCGACTTTGTCACAAGGGGAGCACTGGACAAAAATAGCTTGAACACGAACTTTGAAGGTATTTCTCAAAAATCGTGTTATAACTCTGTGATTTTTATCGCTATGAACAGAGAGTAGGACAATATAAACTAGATCGTGACCTGTATCAAGCATCTAATTTTCCCTGTCGTCAAGAAGAGAACGAAATCGAGAGACTTGAAGGCACCGTACACTGAACTTACTCGGAAAATGATACCCATACGTTTCTTTGTTGAATTAAAAGTTTCCACTGCAACCGTTTTTATGTCTTTCTTCACTTCTTCGAACCTGGCTCCTAACTGTTGTTGAGCAGATTCATCATCAGTTTCGGTCGATAGTCTCCAGAGTATTTAAAGATAAAAGAAGAGACGAAGAAAATATGTACTTGCCCAATATACGAGGACATGGGGACAAAGACTGCTTACTGTTTGAGGGCATACATGAACAGTCACTACGATGAACTGCAACTAGTATGTGCGTCATATATATTGATATACTATATGTAAAGACAGAACTATTTGACAGTCTCAGATGGAATCAAGTGACACTTTCAGGGAGTCTTAGGAATAAAACATTCAGTGATATAACTGTACCGTAGCGAAGGAAGGCATACTTCCTACCCTCGTTTCAAAGAACAAGAATGGGAAAGAGCTTGCCTTGACACCCCACGTGAGGACTGCAATTTCTGTGGGAGTCCCTGACACTTCAGCGGGCAAGGTCTCATCCTAGTTGGATAATAACGAGGTAGAAAACAGGATCAGTTTTTCTTGTACCTTGAGCCTAGATCAAGTTCATGGTAGCAGAGAAAAAGATTAATCAAAGGGTTTCAAGGTTTCAGGTTTTAAGGTTCCAATGAGTTAGTTTCAACTGGGTTCAGAACAGGGCTGCTCAATTCTTGTGTACTTTCGCAAAAAGGCAACAAGTAATAGTTGTTAGTAAAGAGAGTATCACAATTTGATAATTTCGAGAGGCATATAAAGCGCACTTTGCCTCCTGAAACGGTTGCCCTATGTATTTCTTTTAATCTCCACAGGTGCAAGTTTCGGGCCCTTATGAGGCAGTTATTGCATGAATTTGCACTACTTATAGACCACAGACGCTTTACAATACATAACATAAGATATTGCACAAGGAAGCTAGTTATGGCGACAGGTGCATGGGTGGGTGCAGGTTCTGCGAAGCAGAAACTCGAAACAGACGAAATGGTCAAGATACACTACAAATCATTCCCCTCGACGACGAGAAGTACGATTTGTCATATGAGTAATTATGAAGAGATTCTGTACTGATACGAGGCAGGTAACGAGCTACTTTACCGTAGGAAAGTGTACGTTCCCATTTGTATTGAGACAGATGCTCTGGAATATAATCTGCAGAAACATTGGAAGCAAGATGGACACAGCAGCTTAGGGAAGATGTGATTATGTTCTATATTTCTTGATATCGAACCTACAGTTATCTCTGGCCAAGTATGCTCTGAACTTCTTGATAAAGAACAGAGTTTCTCCTTGACGAGGTACTCACAGGACTAAGTTCCTGATTCCGGAAATTATGATGCTTATGAGTTAACTTCAAGCCTCCCTTAAATTTCCTAGAATCTTCTACGCAAGCCTATCTAAGCCTATCTTCCCTATTTCCTAAAATTACTTCCTGTAGTTTTAGGAAACATAGGCCATTAGGGACTTCCTGTCCGTAAAAGAACCCTGTTTAACTCATCTACTCACTACGGCAGCTTTTGATCTATGCAGTTCCCTCATTCAAGGGTCATGTTTTGCATTCAGATTACTGGAATAAGAAGTATTTCGTTGGGGCTTCGTCGTATGCGACATTAATTGCCCGGTGTCTCTCTCGGTGTACATTTATGGCTGATCTGTCACCCATAATTTTTTTGCCAAAGCTATTTAAACGGAAGTGTTTTAACTTCTTATATAAAGCTTTAAACCCAGGGTTTCTTGGAAACAGAATCACTCCAATACCTCAACGACTCCTTCAGTGAAAACATCTTCGTCAAACCCTATGGTCTTTCTCAATTTCCCACAAATCCAATTGTTCACAACGGTCATCTGGAGGATTCAAGCTCATCAGGTTAAAAGCCATGAGACTCCGATTCATTCCAGCACTGGCATTCCAGAGCTACATTGCAAACACGGATGTTGTTGGACAGAATTCCACAATGTTATATCAGACAACAAAGTAATATCTGCAAAACTGGCCTTCTGACTGGAAAGTTTGAGCCTCACACATGAGTCTTTTCAGGTTTAACAAAAGCACCCACAATGACTGACTGTACAAGTCAAAAGAAGTTATTCATGAACTGACACAGAGAAAGATGATTTCACTCCTAAACTGAGCCTGGCTGAAGGTATAAGTCAAGACCACAAATGTACGGTTCTTATCCAGTGCAAAAACTAATAAACTCCGGAATGCATCCAAGTCACAAGTTCAGTTTGCGATATCCACGAAATCAACAAGTGTCAACATCCATTGGAAAGAATATGTTACGTTGGATGAAGGAGCCAGATAAAGTGAACAAAGCAGAATAGTAATAGGTGACTTTAAAGTCGACTTGAGCTATGTGAACAAGCTACACTGCCATGGAAGCACACGACTTATACAGTGTTCCAGACAACTCCAGTCAACTTCATCTGGAAATAATAGGTGTGAGGACTTCCTCAAAAAAGTTGCGAGTCATGCGCCTTGACAACAGAGGAAAGACATGAAGATAAACCAAATTTGTTAGTGGTAAACAATTTACCTGGTTCATAGTAAGTGTGCCCGTCTTATCGCTACATATCGCTGTAGCAGATCCCATAGTCTCACAAGCTTGTAGGTGCCGAACCTGATGCCAAGCATCAGCCTAAATCAGAAAATTCAGGTGGCGTACTGTGCATCGACAATTTGATCGTATAAATGCAACAACTAGTGAAAGAAGAGGTGTCCTGCAGGTATTCAAGACTATCAAGAACAATCAGACACGGCTACGAGTTTCTTACAAGGGCTCGGTCATCCATCATTTTCGACATGGAGTAGGCCAATCTGCAGAAGAGGGAAACCTATGAAGATTAGATCAAGTTCGTCACCAACATGAACGCTGGAGGTAGAAAGTACCCTATCTTCAAAAGATATCAAGTTGCAGTTTCAGTGATTGTAGGAATAAAGAAATTGTATGTGCCCAGAACAACTCTACATACATACGTGAGTGTAACTGCCAAGGGTAACCCTTCAGGAACAGCCACTACCACGATCGTCACCTGTGAACCACCAGAATAGTCCGTAAAACATCAGAAGCATCAAATTAATATGGTGTAACGTACGAAAAGTCGCATATTTTCCGAACTTGGGATCAAGAGGTGATTGATGGAAAAGATACAAAATTTGTACAATGTCACTAAGTAAGAACTGATGTGATCATTCACAACTCAATATGCTGGCAAAGCTTACAGCAATCGCAAAAAAATCAACAATTTTTCGACCATCTTCTCCAGTGAAATGCTTGAGATCAGTTGTTGCTAGGAACCTTCACGGGAAAGGAAGATGAGAAGAAAAAGGTCAGTTTTGTAGAGTAACTACAATTATTAATGTCAGATAAAGCATTGTCCACACTGCATAGGTTCGGTTCAGACCTTGCGAGAAAGTAGTCCTTCAAACTCTTCAATGAGTCCAAGGTACTTAAGACCAATAGACGAGAAAGAAACATGTAACCTATGGTTCTTGCGCTTTTATCTGATGTAATTTTGGGAGAACATCCTAACATGTAGCCACGTTCTTGTTTTTAGTCCCTAATAGACATAGTTCGCTGTCTCACAAATCAATCAGTTTTCTTGCCACGAACATTGTAATATATAGTTTGGATCCAGTGACATTTGGGCTGTGTTGGAAAGAAAGGCACCGTATAAGCAGCACCACGAAAACAATCACAGCGATACTCAGACCGATTTTTCCAATGGTAGTGGCCAAGCTATCCAGCCGTTCTTGAAGTGGAGTTGATTCATCAGTGTCCTCACTCAGAGTAGCCATGACTTTGCCCCATTCAGTATTCATTCCTACAGCAGTCACCTGCAATCTATTTTATTATGATTAAGATTCACTACTGTCTATGTTTTTTAGTTGTACAACTGATTTTAAAACTTGCACCTCTAACGATTGGAGAAAATTGGATAATGATCATGAAACAGGTTTGGCTGCAACCGTTTGTATTCAGAATATAATCTACTTGTGATAGTAAAAGATATTAATCCATTGGCGTTCCTACAATTTGGCCTTCGGTGTGGTGGAGATACACAGCCTCCAATACTTAGCAATTTAATGTGTCTGGCAAATAGGGCTTGTGCTGCATTGTGATATCCAATGAATAATAGAGAAGAAGTAGTAACGAACCACCATAGTACCGAAGCCATCGAGGACCTTGCATCCAGAGAGCATGAAGGGATGGTCATCATCTTTGCTCATCTGAGTTCAGAAAGTCAAAATCGTACAATGGTTTTCAATTTTAGCAGTATCTTTCGAGATTATCACACGAACAAAACTGAAGGTTTAATCAGCCGAAATCCACAGACTTACAAAATAGAAGGCAAAGGAAATGAAGATCACGTACAGGGTCGCTCTCACCAGTCATACTAGACTCGTCAATAACAAGCGATTGACCTTCCACAAGAAGGCCATCACCTGGGATCTGCAGGAGAGAAGAACAAAGTAATTCTTATTACTGTCGTGCTCAGTAAACGGCGGCATTTCCGTTTATTTCTCCTCTTTGTTAGGTCCTGTTGACTGAGTGGAATGAATAAGAGGTACGTTACTTCTTTAAAAATATCCAGATTTATTGGAAAACAAAACCACTTCTGTTTTCTGACTCCTATTCGAAGATATCGTTCAGCACTTCGTACTTCTCATTACTTCCTAAGAAGGGCCTCAACTAGTCGTTCTGATTAAGATACATAATCGGACAGTATAGACATGAATTATCAAAACTGGGCATGTTGCTCATCAGAAGGTAGACTCATCTGAGACATCACAAATTGCGACATTATGTAGAGAGTGGGATGCGATCGATGAACTAACATATGGGTCTCAACGACCCCCAGGAATACAACAATACAATTTTTATTGCATGTGATACATTAGCACGCAGCCTTTGTATAATTGAGAAGAAACACACCTGATCACCAACATTTAAATGGACAATGTCGCCGACCACAAGATCAAAGATAAGAACTTTACATCTCCTTCCGCCTCTCGTACACTGCGCGAAATATTTTCTTTTATCATTTTATTCTTTAGCCTTTCACAACATGCGCGTTATAAATGAATTGTGATCAGGATTTTCAACTGTAGTTTTGGTAAAGTTTGATTGCTCACATTTATATAAATCTTTCGCTTTTCCGCAGTGAGCTCCAAAAACTGTAGTGACTGTCTCCAATCACTAATCGCTGAATGCAGGAAAATACCCTATTAGGTAAAGAATACAGTTACTCAAAGGATCTGAATGATTAAACTTTTCTAGGACAGATGTCATTCCCTTGAATTTCAGCTCTTTGTCCGATTTTGCACATTGACTGGTAAGGACAAAGAGAAGTACCACTTACAGGCAACCAAAACAACACAAATAACAGCGAATGCAATGCCTGCACCATCATACCAGCCACTTTTGGGATCCTGTGAAGCATCAAGAGCGCCATCAGTTATAGCACGCGTAGTTGCACAATCGCCACAGTACGTGGCTTTCAATCCAGTGATACTGAGCATATAATTTGCATCTTCTTCCTTACTTAAAGGCATAGAGAGGGTAAAAGCTACGAGGTAATGTTGCGGAAGTACAACTGGTTGACGATATACCTCTGTTGTTAAACCAACTACTAAAGAAACGATAGCACAGGCTATTAAGATGAGCAGTGTCTCATCTTGTAGGGCCTCCCAGACGTATTGCTGCATACAAACAGGTTGTTGGTCATTAAAATTGGATGAGGAATAACCGTATACCCTGGGCATGCTAAGACACCCAATTATATTTCACAGGGAATGCTAAGCAAGCTTTTGTAGAGCCCAGCCAACCCAAGTACCTGAACAGAGATGAATGGAATCAATTTACCACATTGTCACTTGTTCTGTACAGGACGCAATTAGGAGAGCTATGAACATATAACATATACATGCTTCGGTATCCTCAGAGCTGAGGGACTAAAAATGATTGACCACTGTAACATCACAACAGCATGTTGGCGGCCTCCATGCTTCTGTTTATTATATGTGTGGTACTTCAGAGTAACGACAATCTGATAGTCCCAGAGTTCGGAGTGCGAACGAAATGGGGATCATGCCAAAGACACAAACGTCTGAGGAAATCGACTTTCTTGCAAGATTCGATGAGTCATGATATCTACGACACAGGTAGCTGTATCGTGTTTACAAAGGTGAAACCACGATAGACGAGTGGCTAATGTAATGGGAAGTTGTGGTTCGAACAGTTGAAGAGAAGTCTTTTTCACTTACAAATACGAACGGTATCCTTCACAAAAATCTACGTGATAAGATGATTGGCAACTGTTTGTCTGGTTGAGGAAAGTATTCTTTCCTTACAATACCAGTTCAGGGTATGACGCTTGGATCAAATAAGTGGCCGAAGTAAAGGTTGAATACCCAAAAACGTTTGCGTTTCTTCTCAGGATAGGTGTTGGAACCGAAAGACTCCGTCCGTTTCTTAATTTCTTCCGGCTCGCCTTCGACTCCCCTATCAGCAGTTATTCGCAGCGCATGCATAACAACCCTCACTCCTCCACGTTTTTTAAGCTCCTCAAAGCTTCCCTCAAGCTTCTTTATTTCTTCTTGTGTAATTCCAAACTTGAGCGGCACGCCTGAGGTTCACAATTATGATAAGACGAGGTGTTTCACTCATGAACTCATTTATACTTCACAAACTCTATTCATCATTCTTTGTCGTCAATAGGCTGAAGACCATGTACCCCATGCCTTGCTTGTCTTAACTGTGACGATATGTGAGAGTAAATCTGTAATAGAGTAATTCTGTTATAAGAGAACGCCATCTTCACTCGACTGTCATGCATTGTAGTGACCCCTTACTCGTATATAAGCATCAAATGTGGAATAAAACTTCAGTAAAGCATACCGTGATATATTCGGAGTCGTGAATAATTAATGACGAGGAGACAGTCACGCAAACTCCAGAGCTATTATTACTGCTCAAGTCATACTTGCTTACTCTTCGGAACACGTCTTTACAGTTCAATGACTTATCTTGCCTAAGGTCAGACGATGACTTCCGAAGATGTGTATCACTAAGAGACTCGTACCAGGATGAACTTTATTAGAAAAACTCCTCGAAAGCGTTCTGGAAAGATTCCTGACAAGGGTTGACGGTGGCTCTTGAGTAATAGCAGGAAGTTTTGCCGATGTTGTCCTTTTCAACATGCTCGGGCTACCCCCAAACGGTCTTGCCACATTTTTTCCAGAACTAGTCCTGTAAAGGGTCGTCGAGATTCCAGTGCCTTTTACCGACTCTTGCCGCGCCAAGGTACTCTGTGGATCTAATGGTACTTGCTGCAGCGTTGCGGTTTGTGATCCTTGACGCACAAGTGCAATTTGCGATACTTGTGGCCCATCCTGAGAATACATCCACGATGATATTTGCAGAGCACACTTTAGTCACTTGAAACTGGAAACTGAAAAGAGCCATTTCAGCTATATAAAAGATTATCGAACTCTCACAAGCGCGTTGCAAAGAACTTCTCATACCGAAGAAAATGTGCAACCCTAATTTTAATCAACAGGTAGAAAACCTAGAATTTGATAATGCAGACATTATTAATCCAGACGACCAAAAACTTGAATTCCTAGGCTTTTCTTTACAAAAGTTGATGGTGCTGCAAGTTCACATGCCGCCATACCGGATTTTCATGTTCAACAAACATCTTGACTGCATCCGCTTGCTTTAGAACTCTGGATCCTGATCACTCATAACAAGTCAATCTTTCGTGAACACTTGATCCTTCAGGCTGGTCTTGGTATATTTTCCTAAAGGTTGATGTTGCTGCTTCCTCTTGGTTCTCGCCCTTTGCTGAAAAATCTGCAGCGTGCTCTGTAGACCCTCTGCTAAGCCTCAATTTTCTCATATCTATGATGCCTCTGTTCAGTCTACCCGAACAAGGGGACATACATCTACATCCGGATGTCTTACTGTATTCTTATCTGGTCTGTTAAAACTATCCGATAATTCAAAATTAAATACAGCTGCAAGCGAAGGCGTATCCAGACAACAGACACACAACTGATTGCCTATGAGCAACAGGCAGTCTCCAGAACCAATTTCCTCTACCAAGGTGAAATAGGTAGACACTCATCTGAGCTAGACAAAGCCAGAAACAGTTCATTCTGGGCACTAATGTACTCTTCCTTGTAAAATTTAGACCGCAGACGAAGGTCTCTCTACTCTCAGTGAGTTCATTTAGGAGAAAGTCCCTTGCGCAAAAGTCACCAGCTTTCATAACTGGATACTTTTCTACAGAAGAGAGAAACTTAAGACCGGACTATCCATAAACTCCCAGGCGCTTAACCTCTAGTTTCGAAATGAAACAGAGTGCGTCAACCGAATCTTATCTCCAGACATGCGAGCTCACTGTGCACTAGATTCGACCTTACTACTGCGGCAGGTAGGTGATCATACTGCAATTGCCATGTAAGCCAGGTACAGATTACAAGCGAGATTCATGCGGGCATGCCTCTAGCTACCGGAGATCAGCACCGTTGTTGCTAGTCACAACGATCACGCTATAAAAGCAGAAGACGTTGCTTTGATGAATGCCCAAAATTTCGGAACCAGATTTGAATCTGCACAATTATCACATACGAAGACATACACCAGACACGAATCTCAAATCAACTGAAATGGAGAAAACATGACAAATGTATGTCATGTTTTGACCTCAAAATCTTCTCAGCATGTTATTGCGCCACGAAAGTGACTAAGTGCCAAGTGGCGCAAAATTCCGTCAAGACAAGACCTTGGTTACAGAAGAAGATAATAATACAATGGATTTCAGAGGAATGCAAGCATAGGAAGAGAAAGGAGAAAATTTCTACCAATCATAAGAAGCCCCAGGTCGACGCGAAGTAGGTCAACGCCGAATTCTGAAATTCGACGCATCTCTCACAACGAATGAGAGAGGATCGATCGACAATCCACCAGAACGAGAAAAACTCTCCCCAAATCGGACGTTCTTGTCAGTCGACAGCACCCTAGAGCAAGAAGTGCGATAGGCTGCGATGGACAGCGAATTGATGGAGGACATTGTGGCGTGGGAGCGTCGAGGGCAGAGGGAAAAGATCGAAGAGAGGAGTCCCAACCGTTCCAGGAGAGAGCGATGAACAGTCTGACGTGGATGCCATTTGAAAGCGTATGGCGGTTACAGTTCTGCTTCGCGTGACATGGCCTTGCCTCTTTCCCCTTCGCCCTCCACGTCACCTCATTCACCTCTCATTCAAATGTCCAAAAGATTCGGTCCGAATCCCGCGCAACATCCTGTAGTTCTCCTCTTCATATATTCCCGAAAAATACCCGAAACCTCGAAAACTCCCGAAAGACCGTAAACCCATCAGCTTTCATATTTGCTTTCGAAAGGACGGAGAAACTGGAAGTGTTCTGGAGGGAAAATGCTCGAGAACGCTCTTGCGACGAGAGAAGATGAACGGTCGAGGTGATGGCGGGGGAGATTAGGAGGACAAGAGATTAGGCTATAAATGGGAACATGTCGATGGCGATGGCTACTCATTTTAGTTTAAGTCTGATGCGGGCCATGGAGCTCTGCAGGGTTGTACTTGGCCCGCGCGTGATTTAGATCTCTCTCCGTGTCGACTGATTGATGATGTCCAAAGTGAAGTGAGACACGGGAGATTTCTTCGATTCTGCAGGAGCTTGTGATCTGTGGCACTTTCGTCATCCAGTGGAAGGAGCCCGACGATCTCGTTTCTTTGTTCCATTTTCCTTTTTCCTTTTTTACCCCTCGATCCTTCTCTTCATGAGGGCTTTGTCCCAGAGTCGAAGATTAGCGCGTGGACGGTAGAGGGCATCGGCAGACGATGATGATAACGACTGCACTACTTCCACCCCTGAGCTGGGAATTCGCTCTCATCTCTCGCATCGGGGGAGGGAGCCGAGTTCCTGACAAGCGTAGCATCCTGGACTTCGATTCCGAGGGCCGTTGCTGTGCCGGGGGTTGACAGTGGGTGAAATCAAGGCGAATCTGAGTCTCTCTTCTTCTTAGACTGTCGACCGAGCATACGAAATGTGCGATTCGTGCCCGCATACCTTCCGTAGGTGATGCGCGAAGAGTAACGGGGTTTAGGGTTTAAAACACGGTGACAACTCCTTGAAATCTAGCAATGTTAATCTCCAGAACGTGGTAGCAGAGAATACTCTTTGTGGTCCAACGAAATCAGGTCTTCTGCTGCAGGCGAAAAGTATGGAACGAGAAATTGCACCCGCATAATTATGTCAGTCCACTCAGAAACTGCATGGAATCAACTTCGCTATTCGCAACGCCCCATGGCTGGTGGGGAACCTACGGGAGATACGTAGATAAACACCCGATCTGAGCTGGCGAGCTGCATGTTGACCAGAAAGCACAGATATGTACTGTACTCAGCCAGGACGGCAAACGAGAGCATGTGATTTCGTTCCTTTGAAGAAACAAGACTACATACTGCACTGAAGATATCTTCGACTCAGACATTCTTGGCTCAGGACGTTAGACGATATTTCTTCAATTTGTCAGGCCGTGTGAGTACATCGTCATTTCTGATGACTCTTTCTATCTAGAGGCACTCCTATTGCATCTGTTCAGGAAGACTCGACTGAACAGAATATAAGTGCAGCTCATCAAAAGTTCCTCCATAAACGAGTCCTCAGGTTTGGCGTTTCGCCTTTATGGGCCTCGCAGCCCATAAAGGCGAAACGCCAAATGATGTCCAATGACGTCCATGAGGGAACCGAGAAGGATTACATCAGGAACAAGTTTGAGTTCTAGCGGAGTACTTGGCTCTGGAATTGTCATAGAGGAGGAACCATAAAGCTCGTGGTACCCACTTCAGTGTTTATGCATCTCAACCTCACCAGGTGAATGCAAATATAAGCACGTTGGACTCCCGCAGCTCGAAACAGCGTTGAAACCTGCACTCATGTAGACAAATTTAGTCCTCACGAAATGATGAAACCTCGACTGTGCACGAGAAGAAAATGAAGAGGTAAATATGTCCTTCCGTTGTTGGCCGACTCACACTAAGACCTACTAGGCCTGAGAATGAGGTGGACAGACCAGAGCATGCAAAGGGGAGATCGAATGCATCGAATGCCAACCCTACTCCAGTTTTTTTACGGTGACAAATTCCACTAGGTTTCAATCAGCAGGGTAGACATGACATGCTGAAATGTGAGCAGCGCAGAGTAGGAGGTACCCATGTCAAGTCCTTGATTAGTGAGCTCGCGACTCTCCTGGCAAAGGGCACAGCAATGGCAAAAAAAGGCCGTAGCATAGTCATTCATGGGCTCCTCCGGCAGATTAAACGTTTTGCGCAACTTTCGCCGATGGCGGCCCGTGACACAGCACCAAAAAAGGCAGTAATAACAGGCATTTGTGGTACAAGCTACATGTTCAGAGCAGAGGCATTCAGTCTTATGCGACACCGATGACGCCCTCTGACTTACCACACCATGTTCCTACGATTGCCATGAGATCGCTTAAAGCCAGCGTTAATTAGATTGACATGGGAATGGAACCTTGATTCAGAAGGGAGCTGTGGATTTTCCTTGAAATCGAGCGTACTTCTAATTCTACATGCTCTCCAAGTGCTTGGGTGGGAAGTTTCGTACACGTATTGCCATCGTCGAGAAAATTTCCAATCCTTCCGGATATTAAACACGGGCACATACACGTCCACCAACCTGCCACGAAATTGTCAAATCAAACAGAACGAGCCAAAACTTGCACCGCAGCACTGCCCTAGAGAGAGAAAGCATTGGATAAGTTACGTCTTCCACTCCCTGCTCCTCGTTCAGAATGTCAAATCGTGGTGTGAGTGGTCTTGTAAGGACGATCTTCCTCCAGAAGCTGACCAGCAGATTCATGAATTTTATTGAGAGGTATGGAACGGCTCCAGGTGCTGCTGACATTACAATTCGTGCATGAGCTTTCGCATGTCAGCAGGACGAGAGATTTCGAGGGGGAATGTTGCGTACATCCAGGGGAGTCGAGTTGGAAATCGAAGATTCCAGAGCTCCAGCCCAAAGGCTGAGCGCTGGGAGGTTGCGAGGGCGTTCCTTCTCTGCTTCCTGCTGGCGTTCCCATCGCTCGCTCACGCTCCGAACCCCAGGAAAGCAATTTCGTGACCACGGCTACATCACAATTGCAGCTTTACGTAAAGCTGCAACACGATGGCCCTCGACACTCTTGATGCCTGCCACATCCTTCAGGAATTCAACTGAAGATCACACATCGACGAACACTCACAAAAGTCATAAGATTGATGATGCTACGGCGTATCGTTGTCTAAATGGGGGCACCCATGTCAAGAAGCGCTCGTCGGGGGAGGGGAGGTTACGCGAAGGTCGCCCGGTCGGTCGGTCGGAGAGCTGACGTAGCTATGGACAATGCACAGAAGGAGGCGGAAGTCGTTGAGAAGAATCCTCGAGACATCAGTCCAGCCAGCAAGGCACGCCTCCATAACCGACTCGTTCGGCAACTGGCATCTGGCATCTGGCGGATTGCATCTCTGAGTTTCCCAAGTTTTCCGCACGCTCTGACTCGCCTTTTCAAAGAGCACTCGCGGAGAAGATGGACAATTACAGCGACGATTTAGAATAAATCGCTGTGCAATAAAACCCTGCATTCGAGCCCGTCAAAAGGGAATTCCGACTGCGATAATAGATGAGGAAGTGACACAACAGATGTGATCCACCAATTGGGAACTGGAAAATATCAATTAGCCAGAGCTGCATTTGAAACATATAATTGACGGGCACGAGGTAGAGAAAGGTGAAATTTTTCAGCAAGTTCCATTCATGAGCACAATAATTTTGCTGAAAGGTACAATTCTGTATACTCTGGACAGTATTCTGCATCTTCTAAGTATCGGACCGGCTCGAAGCCTCCCATCGTACTGACACTAGCTGACCCTGTCAAGCCATGGAATTACACAAATCAATTGCAAGCTCCACACCTATGCTCTATGTGACATGAAATGTCTTCTGTCTCTGTTTCTCTAGCTTGTTTACAACTCCTAGCGAGGGGAACAACATCTGTCTAGTTATGTGCATATATATATGAAGCTCTATGAGAAATCTGGTGTGATGACCCGCAGCCTCCAAATAATCTCTCTTCCACTAATCTCATCCAGCGGGGAGCGCTCAGTTGATCCCTCCAACGGATTGATGCTTCGTTCATCTGAACTCTAAGCATTCCAACTGCGACGCGACCGCGGGCCCCAACTGGAGGAACAGGGGGATCAGGGCTACAGATCTCTGAGATACCGTCCTCTGTATCAGGACCTTGGTTTGACTTGATTCAGTTTAAGGAGTCGGTCTCTGCGAAACTAGACTCGTTAGTACCTTACGTGTCTTGGTAATGTCTTTTCTTTGCTGCCTGCCTCTGAGGCTTTCCTTCTGAGCATTCATGCAAGCTGACCGCCGCCAACGAACATGACGTTCACTCAATTTTGGCAAAGATGCGACAGCAAATCCTTCATGAGGTTGTTTCACGTTCTGTTATATTGAGTCTACTTCGCCATTCTTGGGGGGACGGGGGCGGCCATGGCTTGACACACAATGGCCTGCTGTAGATCGTAACCTGTATCAAACAGAGCAGTTGAACGTCAGAGCAAGATCAACTCGGAAAGCTAATTAATACATGGGAAGGCACGAATGCCTCAAATTGGTCTACCAGTGGAAGTCAAAGAGTGGCAGGCCCGTTTCTCTTCAGGTTTTGGTGATGACTGGAAATCCAGAGTGATGGAATGTAGGACGTACCTAGAGATGGGTCGATTCCGCGGTACCGCAGCTCACGGTACTCTTGAGCGAGGGCACAAAACTCACAAAAAAAGTGGGTGCAGAAGTCGTCTAGTGGATCCTCTCTCAGGTTGAATTTGTGTCGCATCTTGGTTCGGTACGTGTACGAATATAGACAAGGAATGCCCAAAAGGAGGGCCACTGCGTAGATGATGCCCGCAGTTTGACATTCTGCACAAACAGAGACCCAGACAATCAGCAAGCCGCTTTTCAAAGAGCAGCCGGAGGTCGAAAGTTTCAGCTCCTTCTCACGGTACACAATCGGACTCTGCCAAACCATCTGCTGGTGAGAACGAAGTGCTCCCGGGATGATCCAGAATGCATAAGCTACAATGGTCAAGATCTTGACTGCACGAGGAGAACGTTAGTGATGACATATTAACGATTTTGAGGGCATGCGCTTTTGGTCAAAGTCCACTAGCATTTATGAAACTGTGACATGGGGGAGCTCAGTCTGTACTCACTGTTGTATCCGGTGTCTGTAATCTCGGCTATCTGCCCAAAAGTGATGCATGGCGCGAGGATCACCAGGGGACCTGTAAACATACGAAGGTATGCACATTATGACCCAAAACAAAGGAGCATGGAAACAAAATCTTCCAGATGACTGATCGAGTTAATTGAAAACCACGAGTGAGAAGTGGAAATCACTTTCCGAAGAGAGATGCAATGCTCGGGTATTCACTCAAGTCAAAAGCACATGGTGACCTGGCAAAGCTTCACTTAGCAGCCAATGCGGGTATCAATACGAACTCACATCCGTAGCAGTCTTCCAGAAAGCCGAAGAGCTCAGTAGTCCATGGCACTGGGGGCCCGATCTCTGGACGAATGATGGCACCTGGACCAAAGTTTGAACCGGGCATTCCAGGGGGCAACCTTACAGGAGTGAACACTTGCTGGGGAGGAGCTGCTGCGCCTGTTTGTTGAGGAAAGGATGCACCTTGACCCGGATGGGATGGTGTACCCTGAGCTCCATTTGGTGGATATGCGCCTTGCTGCGGAGGAGGAGCGGTTGGTTGAAAACCTGCTGGCTGCTGTGGTGGTGGGTAGGTCGGCGGAGCACCTGCAGCAGGATTGGGGTTATAACTCGGTGCAGGAGATTGAGGTGGATAGTAAGGAGGAGTCTGCTTGTTTTGTGGAAAATACTGAGGAGGAGGACCTGCTGCTTGCTGCGGCAGAGGGGAGTTCGCCTGCCATTGTGCGTTAAACTCTACAGTGTACTCATTACCACCACCTCCTCCTCCTCCTCCTCCTCCTGCTGGTTGTTGTTGTTGTTGTTGTTGCTGCTGCTGCTGCTGCTGCTCCATCTGATGATAGTTTCCTCCAGCTGCTGCTGTAGAATCGTAGTTCCCTTCTGCAGCCGATTGATCGTAACTATCTTCATGCTCTCCCATTGTGGTCTGTTATACCCCTCCGACAGCTTCAGTACAGGGTTGCCTGCCTCGTCCACTCCTCAGCTCTTGAATATGTGCGACGAGAAAGACAACGTTCAGAATCGGCGACGGTCGCTGCGTCCACAGATTCACTCCCGAACTGATCTCATTTCTGGCTATTGCATAGAGAAGGAGATTATGACAGAGCTGTGTACAGGTTGGAAAAGTATGTACTACAGACGATTCAAGTGGCGCATCACTTACCAATCAAACTTCACCGTCCTAAAAAAAAGCACAGCGTGTGGGATGTTTTATCCTAGCGAACGAGTGAACTTGATAGAGTACAAGTGAGTCTGATCTGTGAGCTATGTCGATGGCTGTCCAACTCTCCGTACTATGGGAGCTGGAGTAATGGCTGATCCTGCTTTCCTGGTGGTGCTTCTATCTAAACATAGGACTGGGAACCCGCGTATAATAAACTTCAGAGACGAGAGCTCTTGCTCCTCTGAGGTGCCGCAACCTCACGACGTATTACATCTCTTGAAGAATGAAGTCGTTCTGCTTGAGTTGACTCCGGAGTCCAAGACTTATACTGGAGATAGACGTCCATTACTAAAATGATTTTTTGGACATGCTCCCGTATACTAGCCTTTCATGGATCTAAGGACAAGGCGGCCGCATGAGCCGGAGGTGCCAGCACCTATAGTTGGCCATTGAGTCCCGTAGTCTTGTTGACTTCCTTGCCATGCCACTGTGGGCAGTCGATCACAGGTCAGATACAATATCGTGTGACTGCGCATCTTGAATGGACGTGCATTCGTCTCTGCGGTGGACCCCATAAGCTCAGCCGCAGGCTTCCCGAAGGCCCGGTCAAACAAGTTGATCAGTGCAACAGTCCGGGCGGATGTGCAGAAAGATTGCCATCAACATATGTTTGCTCATTGCTACCCATTTTGCGCAGTCCGTGCTCTGCGTGCATCTTTAGACACGGGGAGGCGTTATCCGAGACACCGAAGAGTGGGAACTGTCTTCGAATGAGCGCTCTTGGATCTCTTGGCTCCATGCAGCAACTTGGGGTCAAGTCCGCCCTCGGAGTAGACGCGCTATCATGATTTGAATCCCACTGCACCGAAAGATGGGGATGGCAAGCTGGACGACGGGACTCATCTCGCCTGTTGTGGCAACATCAAAACGGCATGGATTTTTGTACTGTCTTCAGGGTCACAAACTGGCCAGCAATGTGATCCTCTTTGTAGCTCACTGAGTATCCAACAATATAATCCAAGAAAATTTTAACCTCTACAACACTTTTGTCGTCTTGGCCTTATGTTTCTGAGTCCTTTTATGAGGCACAAATTGAAGATGACCAGAAATCACCCAGGAACTCGGTACTTCCTCGCCAAGTGTGCGCTTCTCTGACTATCATCATCGATGATTTCTTCATCGAGCCGATACTTCTTCATTTCAATTTAAAGGACTCAAGAACTCATCTCATAAAGTTGATGTAATCCTTTAGCTGATGCTCGTCTTCTCTATGAATTGAATACAATGCAAATACAATCTTATTCTAAAGCTACGCGATAAAATTGTTCCTTGTTCTCAATCTTTTGTACATTCCCGACAAGGTAATCACATGATGACAATGGAAAAGATGCATGGTATTTATGTCTGGAGCCATCTACTTCAACTTCCAAAGCTGAGTTGCACAAGATTCAACCGTGGCTGTATGCATAAATTGTATCAAGCTAAAACGAGAGTGACAATCGCATAATCCATGATTGATCTAACATCTAACGCTCCTTCCAAGATTTGATTGGGTTTGCCTGATGTCCGAACCTGTCATGATTTTGCTATCTTTGTAGGTTGATGATACATTCATCAATCAAAGGGCAAAAGGAACCAGGTAAGAAGATGAAAGCTTCGGAGTTGAACAATGCGAGTGTTAGGATGAAAATTAGTAAGAAAGTTCAAAACAAAGTTCAAATGACTTTTTAGTAAACAGGAAAAATGAGAGCACAGTATATGATACAGAGACTAATTCTTACAACGAATGATAATGAAAAGTTTAAGCGTTTCTTAAGAAAGAAAAGAAAAGGTAGAGGTTTGTTTAAATTTTTTTATTAATTTCTATCACATTCTACTGACTCTTACAACAAATGATATTGGACGGCTTAAGCGTTTGAGAAGAAAGAGAAGAAAAGTTAGACATTTGTTATAATTTTCTATTAGTTTTTATCACGTTCTACTGATTCTTACAACGAATGATAGTGGAAAGCGTAAAAACTTTAGAAGAAAGAAAAGAAGAGGTAGAGATTTATTATAATTATTTTGTTGATTTATATCACATGTTACATTACATTAAAATCCACTCAGACGTAGTGAAGGGTCATGGGTCGCGCTGAGTCTCTTCGAACCGGGTTGCATTTTGTCAATGTGCTTCGATTTGTCATCTTGCGCCACTGCCATGTGTTACTGGCGGCTCGATGTGACATCTCTTTTCTTGTGCACGTATTTTTTTTCAATGTCGATTAGACTTAGGATGATTATACTAAAACGTGATATATTGAGTTTGAAAACACAATGAAGAATCTTTTGATTACATCTAGAAGAAATCATCTGGACTACTGAAGTTAATTTCAGTCATCAATATCTTGTGAAGCATTCCGTGATTTTAGATGACAACTGATTTCAGAGTCTAATTTAGCGAATCGGTGGGTAGAAATTAGATGCGAAGACCCCATCAAGCCGAAGAAGGATAAACCTTGTGGGGAAACCAGTTGCTAGGTTAAGATAGTATCACAACGAATCTGGATATTCTATGATTCGGGATATGTGTACGGTGCGTACAACATTTGGACCCTGATATATCGTCAGTACCGTTTTGTCAACATGGACGCGAAGCGTGCAATTCCTTCCCTTGAAACTTATAATGAGTATCTAATGTAACGTACTATGCACGTCGTTACAGGCCTGGGTAAACCAGTAGAAGAAATTGTATATGTAGATATATCTAAAATCTTTATCAAGAGGGAATTATCGTCTCTTAACCTTGCAGAGCGGACCATGTTCTGGGCTAGAGTCGACTGACTACAGTACTCGACAATGTTCGAATTTATTGGAAGGTCCGACCATCAAAGTCTCTGCTACAGGTTCAGCTTTCACCTTTAAATCACGTTGTCTAAGACTCCAGGCCAAATAGAACCGTGTAACCTCAGCTGATGTTCTAAAACTACTTACTGTTCCTGTAATAGTTCAGTGAACCATCTTTTCAAGGGAAATGAAGAGACCTGCCTCCTCTCACGTTCGAAACAACCTCCTCACATGTTAAGGAATCCATAAAGCGGAAATTCTTATCTCGAACTTGTATGTTGCCTGAGTTTTTCTCGTGCTGCTGTGACCTTGTCAGCTCTGTCTTCTACAACGTAATACACTGAGCTGGCATCAACTGCATGAAGAATGGCTCACCGATCTACCAGATTACAAGCCTCGTGTCGTCCCACGGTTTTTACTCGGATTTCTGTTTCCTCCCACCGTCGAAGGAAGCACAGTTGGCAACCACCGGCCACGATCTAGTTACTCTGTAGTGGGGAGTCCCCTTGACCAGGTCAGAGATCCAATTCTACATCAGCAGGATCTGGACAGGGAGGGGTACTCTGGGACATACTGTGTTTCCATTAGATTTGGCGGCATAGCTGCGGCACACAGGAATCTGGATGTCACGGGTACAGGACAGCCTTCGGCATTACGCAGTAAGAGCGACTTTGCTACCCTGTGCTATGCCTGTTGTCTCTCCAGGATAATGCCGGCAAGTTGACCGAGCGACTCCGCTAGCGTGTGCTATGCCTGTGGTCCCTCCATGATACTGCCGGCGAGTTGACTTAGGCGAGTTTGACTTAGCATCGCCTGCTGAGCTTACGCCGGCCGGCTCTTTCATCTTTCATCACATCTGTCCCTTTCGTTGAATCAATACATGGATGGTGTTCACTATATTCGAGTGCGTTTTCCACTAAAGTTATCTGTTGATGACATGTACGGGTAGCTTGCCGGCGTCAACTTACATATTACATCCAGAAGCTGAAACACAGCCCAATTCTTTCTTTTTGACATTGAGTTGTAGTTTGGGGCAGAAGGTCTCTGAAAATTCGGCCCATGTTCGATAGAGACTACGTTCAAGATGCGAATTATATCAAAGGTCCGTCTATAAATACCTTCAGCAAGTCGTGCAGACTATAAACATCGATGCAAGAATACAATACAATTCTTCCTTTTCGATCGAACCCTTCATAATATAATCTGTAACAGTTGTGGACACTAGGCTGGGATGCACCGACTCACTATTGTTCTTTAACTTCCTGCTTGTCAGATCAGTGAACTTCAGAAGTAAAGGTTGATAAGGTTAGGAGTAATTGTACTAGCCCATGAGCTAGAATGTTGCTGGCTGACATCAGACGTTCAGTATGATTAGAGGTATGTAGTCTTCTGAAAGAAGCCAACAAACATACGGAGGAACTGGGAAACGTGAAAATCAGTTCAACATCATGTGGAATTCAAGGAACTGGAAGACAGGGGAGCGCGAGGTTAATGAAATGCCATTACATTTATATAATCGGACAATTTCTATTTGCACCAAGGGCTCCAATATTTCTGATTATAAAACATAAGCCGCCATATTTCTCACCTAGATTAGGAGGAGAGTGTGCTGAAGATCATGACTGCGGCAGATCTCTGCATTTTTTTGAAAGCAATGGATAACAGAAACTCAGAAAAATGATTCTTCATCAACCAATCTTTCAATAAGCATGGAAGAGGAAATGGAGACGCATGGAATGGGCATGTAAATTGATGTAAGTGGTTTGCACGTAGCTCCACATGAACACTGGAAACCTCATTCTTCGTTGTCCTAATTGGTGACATGACAGGACTTGTCTTATCGTACTTCGCCTCCGACTGAAGTACGATGTGGAGGGGAAGTACGACGAGACATGCATTGACATTTGTCACTGCTACTGCATGACGCTGAACTTTCAGCAGAATTCTTGCACACGTTTGGATAAACGATGAATCGAATATAACGGTTTGTACTTGGCTGTGCAAATGTTTAGTACATTAGTAAATAAACATATCACATGCACATCTGCGTATCTACTGGTTTACAGGACGATGCAAGCACCCGACATTCCAGAAGAAGGAAGAAATTCATGAGAAGGAATCGAGAGATTAGGACCAAGTACCACGGAAAAAGGATGGGGCTAGGCCCCATATCCCATCATGTAAATATAAACCACTGCTCCAAAGATGTCGAAAGTATCTAGGCAACAAAGTCTACAAACCACTGGAGCATCCAAATAAATATCGCCTTACGTGAAGTAATTGTTGGCGCACTTTCTACAGAACAGTCAAACAAGTGCGGGAGAAGTGCGGCCAGTGATACCTCGAATGGCAAACTGAGAAGACCAGATGTATTAGGATTGTGGCCATTACTTCGCAGGTTCTCCATGCGTCATTCCATCTCACTCCACATGTTTTGTTCTCTCTAGTCATCCTTGATAAGCATATGTCAAAAATAACATGTTCGGGCAATACTGACCTATTGACTAGCATT